TTCCACCATGTGATGGGCACAGATTATGGCTCTGCAGCAGGACAGGTGTCAGGGGTAAAGAGGTACTAACACAGCAGCAAGGCCAGATGTCCTGGTGTCCTGTCACAAGCCCTGTTAGCAGGGCCCTCTCTGCAGCCTCAGGTCAAATGATGTAACAATGGTTGGCCATAGCTTTCAAGAGAGTCTTACAAGTTTTTATAGGTATGGAATGCATTTGAATGACGGTTTAGGTTTGACGTCAGCATTACTTAAAGCCTTTCTGTTTTTATGTGTGTCAGAAGTGTGCTCACTGCTGGTGCAGAGTTACAGATCCCGGGGTTCACTGATTCATTTCTCCATCCTTCCTCGCACCCACAGATTGCTTTCATTTTAGGTTCTTACGGTGTACTAGGCTCTGAGAGGGATAGGGGAGGAAAACAAATGCTTGTGGCTAGAAGCTGACTGTAGTGGGGAGAACAGTCTTGGGAACAACTAATAATTCAGTGGAGTAGCGAGGAAGGGCTCAAAAGAGTGAAGCAGAAAAGACAGGCTGCTGGGACAGATTCAACACGGGAGGTTGAGCAAGAGAGCAGTGGGAAGGGGAAGGAGATTCTTGGTTATTGAGGAGGGGGCAGCAGCGCCCTGGTGATCTTGTGTGTTCTGCGCTCCAGTATAAGGAATGCTGTGAGTGGGTTAATAAAACGTTCCTGGGCTTTATTTGAGATTTGTTGCAGCAGTAACTCTACTATTTAAAAGGCCCCAGTGCCACTTTGAAGTTAACACCTCATTGCCGAGCAGGGCGATGGCTTTTCCTTCTGTACGCCGAGGTCCCTGCACAAAAGCAGCAGAGCACAGGACTCCAAGCATTCCGGCTGTGTTGGGCTTGGACTCGGACCCTCTCCTCTTTCCCAACCTACCTGCCTTGCAGCGGGGATGCGTGCATTCTCCTGGGTGGAGGGGAAAGCAGCAGGCACGGTTCTGTAGCTGACAGCCCTGAACTACAAGGGCTTCCTCTGTTCTTCCTCCTAGATTCCGATTCCTTTCATTCTAAAGATTGCCTTGCCGGAGTTCAACCAACCAGTCTTTAGGGAGGGTCTACCAAAGCCCAGGCCTAGAAATGCAAGTCTCACTGATAGCAGGCAGGGAAGGGAGACAGAAAAGGATGAGACATGCCCTGAACTAGGTAGGTGGTATAAGGAAGTAGCATGGTCAGAGGCACCCGGTGAGGATTTCAAGCACCCCAGGGCTTCTTCTGCCCACCCTGCTCACACACCCCCTTATCTTGGTTCTAGGCCCTTTGTACTTGCTGCAGAGATTCTGGAAACCTTGTTGGGTAACAAGAGCGTCTATTTCCTTCTTAGACCTTTCACACGGATCTTGTTTTCATTTGAGTTTCGTGAGCATTTTATGAATCTGTTCTTCCCTGTGTATGTTAGGCTGTGGAAATCTGCTGCTGCTGCTGCTGCTGCTGCTGCTGCTGCTGCTGCTGCTGCTGCTGCTGCTGCTGCTGCTGCTCTGATGGGCATGATTCTTGCAGTTGCATCTGTCACTGCTATAGTTCCTGCGAGGTGTCTAGAGTTGGAGACAGCCACTGGGGGATGATGTACAACTGTAGAAACCAGCAAGTCCTAGGGGATCAAACCCTGGGCCTCGGTCTCATTCACATTCCACCTGAGCAGCTGTACTAATTGCCTATCACATTAGATCAGCACAACAGCCGAGAAAGAGCTGTTAATGGCATTCCCCAAATAGTGACACTTAGTTATGGAGTCTACGGGAGTATTGTTTATTTAGGGAAATACATTCCTAAGACAGCAGTATGGGGCAGCGTGGGGACCCAGAATCGCTTTAGCCAGAAAGGTGGCAAAAGCTGCTTGTGTCTTGGTGGAGCCAGGATGCCGCTCCTCCACTCAGCCTCGCCTGCTGTGTGCTGACCTGGGCAGAGGGCTTCCCTTCTCTCATGTTCAGCCACCCTGTCTCCAGGGGGGACCTACCTGAACTGTCCTCCCAGAGATGAAGGATGGAGACTTTTTTCCAGTGCTCCCCAGGCACAGAAGGTCCGTGGCACTTAGGAGAGCTGGGTTTAGAGCAAGTATCAGGAGTGCAGCCCTGTTGAGGTCACTTTATTGATCTGAAACTTCACCTACGTGATGCTTTCTCTGTCTTATCTTCATGAGCACCTTACTGGACAGGACAGCTCTTTCCCACATTGAGTAAAACCAGCCCAGCAGGAAGCGGTGCCATGTTTGTCTTGGGGTTCCAGCAACTGCTGCCAGCCGCTGGGGTGCCTGAATGGAGGCACCCACTGTTTTGGAACTCCTAGGGCCTGATGATCCGGAGTGGGTGGTCTCACCTTCTCTTTCCACACAACTTAGTGTTTGTGTGCAAGGAAGAGATGATGTGAACAGCAGTCGGAAGAATCAGCTTCGTATTTGGGGGTGGCAGTGTACTCGTGTAATCCCAGCAATCTAAAAGGCTGAGGCAGGAGGAACACAAGTTTGAGCCCATCTTGGGCAGTTAAGTGAGACCCTGTCCCAAAAAAAGAAAAGAGGTTAGGGATGTACCTTAATGTAAGGGTCTTGGATTCAATCTCGAGTAGTAAGTTGAAAAAAATATATTTAGGAAAGTCATCCCTTGCTATTCTTATTTTATTTTCAGAAGGACCCCAAACTACCTATGGCTTTGTTTGTTCAGCAGATTTTTGCCTAGCTCTTTTTTTTTTTTTTAAACCATGGGTCGAACTCGAACCTTGTGTTTGCCGGGCAGGTGCTTAAGCCACTGAGCTCTCCCCAGACCCAATATTATTCAATAGATTTTTGTTAGGAGTTTTAAACTGGCTCCAGGGAGCTTGAGGGCCTGATGATCCCTACAGCAGCGGCAGAGCATTGGGTCTTCATTCGTAAAGTCAGGTCAGGGCAGAGGGCTCCCTAGGCTTTCCTCCTCTGCGCTTAGTCACCCCTCTCCTTTTTTTTTTTTTTGCTTTAGTTGATTTCATATCCATCCCTTTTTCTTCTTGAAGCTTGAGGCTAACGTGTGGCAGTGATAGTGTGTGTGTGGCTGGGAAACAATGTTGATATTAACCCAAGAAATTAGTCTGAAAGAAATTTTGAGTTCTTGTACAAAACAGATTAGAAGGGCAGATACAATCCTATTCAGTGAGAGAAAGGAGCAGCACAGTACTTGATTTGGCAATAATGATTATAAGTGAATTGAAGAAGAGGTGGGAGAGGTTCAGATTCTTTTCAAGCCTAGCAACCTTCCTCCACTCATCCTCCAATCACACAGTTCTGTGCAGGGGATCTCATATGTGGGCACTTTTTAAATATTTCTTCATACAGAACACTCTGTGCTGTTTGAGAAGTATTTCCGGGCTGGCCAGATAGCTCAGTGGATTAAAGCGCCTGCTTAGGCAGATGCAGGGACCAGGGACCAGGGTTCGATCCCTAGTGTCTGTGCCAGCCCTGTTCCTGGGATTGGCTGAGATGGCGATTGAGACTGGTAGAGTATGCCTGTAATTCTAGCTCTTGGGAGGCTGAAAATAGAAGGATCACTATGAGTCCAATCTGTATAGTGAGACCCTGTAGACCCCGTCCTAAATACATTTTTTTTTTAAAAAGAAAGAAGTATTTCCTAGCTATGTAACATGGCTACATTTCTAAAAGTTCTATAATTTGTAACTTATAAAAATTACCGTAGGAGCTCTTGAAAGTCCACTTTAGTTTGCTTTGTCAAGAAAGAGTTAATCTGTAAGACATTACAGTCTCAAATAACTGGAAGCCATTGGTCAGAATCACATAAACCAAGCGGAAATGGGTGGCATTGTTTTCTATAAACCACAACCAGAGCTCATTAATTGAAAAACGTCAATTTGTGTTAGCTCACATCTATAAATGAGAGAGGTGCAGAGATCTGGGTATGTCATAAGTAATAAAAACATCAGCAAAATGTATCAGATGGAATACAGAAGAAGGGGGAGGGTAGTAAATTCAAAACCATACCAGGGTTTATTGGCAGGGCCCTACAAAGGGAAACTTTTTAAATGTTTTTAAAACATCTTTGATTTATTTTTTGGTACAGGGTCTTGCTACATGGCTCAGACTCGTAGTGATCCTTCTGTCTCAGCCTCCCCAGTGCTGGGATTAAGGTGCGCGCCATCATGCCTGGTTTCAGTGGCCAACTCTGCAAGGGACCTGCATGGCATGCTGTACCAGGAATAGAACCCAAGTCCTTGTGCTTAGAAACCCCGAGCTATCTCCCCAGCCCCACGTAGAGGATTTTAATGAGGCCTTAGCATCAAAATAAGTGAAACTACGTGGCCTTTTGATGATTTCTACAGTATATTTTAAATACTAATACATAGGAGAAGCTTTTTTTCTTTTTTGCATTAATATGCCTATCTGAAGTTTGGGTTTCTTGGGAAAATACTCATGGACATCTTAAATGCAACTTCTTCTTTTTTTTTTAATGCAACTTCTTCCTGTTTTAAGTTGCTTATGTTATTTGGGGTTTTCTCATGAGCTCTCAGCGTTGAACTTAATATATCCCGGAGTGGCCTGCCTCTAGCTGTTAGCTCTGTGGACTCAGGCTCCTCTCCAGGCTCTTTGGGGGACACCCAGCGATGCCCTGTGCCTCTGGGCTACACCTGTCCTCATCAGCATTGGGGGTGGGGGTGTCACATTCCATCTGATGTTGTCACCATCACAATATCTGTACAGCACATTTGTAACTTGAGCTCATCCAGATTTAACCCTGGGGAGGAGTTAGGGCGAGGCGCTTTGAGGATGGGGTTCCATTGGTTCTGGGGGTTTGCCATGTTGGAAGTGTTCGATTCTGGTATCAGGGCTGTTGAGCTGCTCCGCACCCTCTACAGATGGGCCTGTGGGTCCTGGGAAAGCACTAATGAGGGGTGGGACCTCCGTCTACCTCTCCTTTGGCTCTTGCTCCTCCCGCTGTCTTGCAAGTCATGGGCCTAGGACCGTAGGCTGGAAGAGAACTTAGAGCTCCTCCCCCTCATTTTGCAGATGATGACACTGCCTCCTCTGACTTCTGCCTCTGGCCTTCCCCTCTCAGTAAGAAGAGCCAGGCAGGTGAGACTTTTCACAATTGCTGGGCTGGGCTGGGCTGGGCTGTCTGATTGGTACTGTCCAATTGGTGAGAGAAAGTCTTGTTAACTCTATGTCCGTTGTAAACAGTCCCTTGCTATTCCAAATGCACATCCTGGCACTTCACTTTAGCATTTTGGGAAAAATTATAAGCACTGTACACTTTAACAAAAATGAGCAACCCTTACAAAGCATCTTTAAAGACAAGCATTAGGATTATTCCGGTAATAAATATCATAGAACTGAGAACAAAGGCTGAATGAAAATGAGATAGAGGAGTAATCTATTCACTAGGGTCTTCAGGAATTGCTCAGAAGTTGCCTAGAGAGCTGAAGAGCTATAGGAAAAGCAAATACAGTTGGAAGGTTTTTAGAAGGAATCGAACAAGCACACTGGTGTTATGGAAGGGCTTTTTTTGTCACAGGAAATTTTAATTAACCCATTCTTTAAAGATGACAACCGTAAGTCTTTAGGCATTTCAGAAAACTAATTTTTCCATGAAATGGTTTATCACTGTGGTTTCCTAAGCCAAGCACCAGAAATACCTGCTAAGGAGACATACTGATGGCTTGAGGACTTCGGGGGGCTTCCCATTTGGGGGGATCAGCTTTGGTTGTAGGTTCCTGCTTTGAGCTGAGCTGGAGCTGATTCTTTGGGGTGTGGCCCAGGGCCCTGGGAGGCGTGGGGAAGAGCCTACCTCCCAGTCTCCTCTAGGCAGTGAGCCTTTTGCCAGAGCTGCTGTGGACATGTGGCCTAGCTGAGGATCTAACCTCCCATCAGGTCTTGAAATTTGCAGATCTCTAAGGTCCTAAGCCTCCCTGTCTTCCCTTGCCCCACTTTAAAAACTCACTACCTGGTTTATGACCCTGGAGAGGGTTTCTCAAGGCCCGACTCTCCCCATAGCCCCAGAACAGCCAATTTCAGATTCCATCAAAATCTGCTTTGATGTCACTGTTACTAAGGCAAAGATTACAAGATTTTAAATTCTTTTTAAAGAAGTGATGAATGTTAGTGAATCTTTCTTATATCCCTTCATGGACAGAAAAGCTCTGTCAAGAGTACCATAAATAAAACCGATCGTTTTGGGTTAAGAAAAATAACCTCGTCTGACTTAGTAAAAATCTTGCTTCAAGTATCTGAAGTGCAGCAGGAAACAAAGAGTGGGGGTGGGAATAAAAACCAATCAGGATTCAACCGTAAAGTCTGGTGAGTGGAACATAGAACTGAGTGTGGGCAGATGCGCAGGGTCTGGCACAATGTTGGGTTTTTAAAGCCCTTTGAGATTGTCTAGGGGTGAAAAATTTAAGGATAAATGCCGGTAAGAGTATAAAGTGGAAAAAAAAAAAAAAAAAAAAAAGACTGTAAAGTGCCCAGTGCATTTGAAAGCTTGTTTGTGGCTTGCTGTTCCTTTTTTTTTTGGTGGGGGGAGGGAAGCTAAAGTTTTCTTTTTTTTTTCTTGTAAAAATTCTATCATTATTTTAATTGATATTTACAGATTTTCCCTCCCATCTTCTGTTATAATTTTTAGGTGCTTCAGAACTGGGCCCTTTTTCAGACCCCAGGCAGTTCCCCAGCATTCCGTCCCTCACTGAGAGCCGCTTCTCCAACCCACGAATGCACTACCCAGCCACCTTTACTTATACCCCGCCAGTCACCTCAGGCATGACCCTCGGCATGTCTGCCACCACCCACTACCACACCTACCTGCCACCACCCTACCCCGGCTCCTCCCAAAGCCAGAGCGGACCTTTCCAGACCAGCAGTACTCCGTATCTCTACTATGGCACTTCGTCGGGATCCTATCAGTTCCCCGTGGTGCCAGGGGGAGACCGGTCTCCCTCCAGAATGCTCCCACCGTGCACCACCACCGCCAACGGCAGCACGCTATTAAACCCCAATCTGCCCAACCAGAGTGACGGGGTGGATGCGGACGGAAGCCACAGCAGTTCCCCAACTGTGTTGAATTCTAGTGGCAGAATGGATGAATCCGTTTGGCGACCATACTGAGATTCCTCAGCCGTGGCCTGGTGGTATCTGGGGCCGCACCCCGCACGTGTCAACATATACATATACACAGAGAACGCATACATATATATACATATATGTATATCGGTTAGCTGTCTACAGAGTGCCTACTTCCTAGAAGACCTGTCATTCCTTCACCCAGTCATGGCCTTGCAAGCATAAGAGGGTAGATATTGAGAAGGAGAAGGAAGGCCCAAGAGAGACGATCCTAAGCGGGTTTCAGATTGTTTACTATTTAAGATGTATTTTTTACAAAGGAACACACAAGGGAAAAGGTATTGTTGTTTGCTCTGTCACCCTAAATAACCTGTTCTAATGCCAAGTCAGAGAGGTGGCCTGAGGTTCAGGCAGAGGAAGAGTAGAGGTGCTTCCGCCCTGTGCCCTCAAGCTGCTCATCTTCCGGTCCCATGTCCTCTGCAGACTGCAGGCCAAGATGTCACGGTGCCCGTTGAGGGGCCGGTGGCAGGGCACATGCTTCCCTTTGGGCACCGTGTGTGAGGAGCAGCCAGGCCACCCTCTGTTTCAGACTTGCTGCAGCTAATTGTGTGAACTGTGTAGTTCAGATTTCTTCTTCCTTCTCTCAGAAAGTGACTTCAAAAATACTGATCAGGATAGATTATTTTATTTTACTTTTTTATACTTCTTCCATTTCCCATTTAACTGAAAAGAAATCCCACCCCTAAGACCCCACCTTATCCTTTTATATGAAACTGAAAATGGCAATACCTTGTTATAGCCATAATGGTATATATAGTGTTTGCGTTTGGCTGTGTGTTATTTGTTTTCTTTTTTTTTTCTTAAATTATGAATATGTGTAAAATCTGAGGTAACTTGCTAACGTGAATGGTCATATAACTTTAAAGATATATTTATAATTATTTAATGACATTTGGACCTTTGAAACATTTCTTAGTGTATTGATATGTTGACTTCGGTCTCTAAAAGTGCTCTTTATTAAATAACAAATTTCTTCAGTGGGCTAGAGCCATATCTGAAATATTGCTAAGCAATTTCAGTTCATCCAGGCACAATGTGATTTTTAAAAAATATTTCCATCTCCAAATATTTTAGAAGTAGCTTGTTTTTGTAATGTATGAAGGAAATGTTATGTTTAGCTCTTTCAGATCTTTGACTGCCTCTACACAGCTTTGCCTTTGAAAGCAATAATAGGGATTTTTTTTAAAAAAAAAACTGCCCTTAGCCTCTTATCACTTTTGTTGCCCTCTCTCAGCATCAAATGCTGGCGTGATGTGGTTTCCTAATTTCTTTTGGATAATTATTACTCTTGTCCTATTAAAAAGACAAGCACAAGTGAATTATTCAACTGCAGGAAAGTGTTCTGTGGTCTCAAAGTTGAGCAAAACTCTAAAATCACTGGGCTTCATAGTGAAGACATAGCTTAGAGTCACACATGTGGCTGAGGGCTCAGCCGTGAAGGGCTATGCAGGAATGCGAGATCACTCCAAGGATTCTTCACCAAGCAGCCTTACCACACAGTACACCAAGGGACCCCTAATCAGCCTTCCTCAAACCCCACTTGCAGCCTCCACAGAATTTGGGTTTAAAGGGACCCAGTGAACTCATTGATTGCCCTAAGGGGAGCTGGGCACCCTAAGTGGCAACCAGTTGCAGTAGGTGACTGATGGAAGAGGACAGAGAGCCGGTGGAGACCCAGTATAGCCTTTGACACCTGCATTTAACACGATGACGGAGTCAAAGGCAGGTCCTGGTCCTGGTGTGGCATTTCCTGTCCACCTCTGTCTATGAGTTCAAGCTACAGCTGTTCTGCAGGATGCTCTTCGACCCTTCCAGGCATCCACATGGCCAATTCGCAAGCGCACTTCCTTCACTGATCCAAGCCAGGCTTATGTAATGGCTCCACCAGGCAAATCTCTGCCCTCTTCCCTCGATGATCAAGGTGCCTTCACTTGAACCCTGTGCTCCTCTGAGCAGAACTCTGCAGAGATTTGCTCTGGCCCCTGATGCACCCTTGACTGGAGTCCTTCTCAGGGCCACCATGCACTTGGGACAGCCGCTGACCAGGTAAACCTGGGTGTGTCCAGTGACCATCTTTCTCCCTTAGAATTCATCCCGACTCCTTCTAATACAAGTTGAGGGGAAGCGAAGGGAAGCACTTCACCTTCTAAAGGTTGTGTACGAAGTATGCTTAGATAAATAAGCCACTTTTCTATTACCTAAGATGGAAGTAGTAGTTGATGCTATTTATTGTTTGTGTGTGGTGGCTTGAAGCATGCCACTGTCCATTTATTTGTGAGTATAAAATATGTGTTATTTTCAGCAGCACTTAGAAAAGCCAGTGTCTGGTAACACATTGCAATTTTATTAAATTGACATAAAAATGTTACCACCGGTACCAGCTGCACCCTATTTAATAAAAAAGTACTATATTTGTACATTATTTTTTAATGTTAAAAGGGCTTTTTTAAGTTTACAGTACACATATTAAGTGACTATAGGGATGCTTTAGTGTTGAAATGTTAGCGTGGCTGCAGGCAGCAACCCAGAAACACTTTAAAAGTCTTTTTCCTTGGGAAAAATTCAAGCACTTATCTCTGTCCTCCATCCAGATGCCTCAACAGGGCAATTCACATGTTTTAGAACAAATTTCTGTCCCTTTTATGGCCTCGGGATTCATGTTCACATTCTCTCTCTCTCTTCCTCACTCTCTCTCTCCTTCCATTTCTCCATCCTTCCCTCCTTCAGTTTATGCTTGGTCACAGATACGATTTGTGATTTGAAGACCAGAGCAGTCTTACTACTGCTAGGAACCATGCATAAGGACTCTTAGGGTTAAATCAACATGGTTCTTGGCATGATACCCATGTTGCTGGAATTTACAGTGTGACCAACACAGCCACATTTTTTTTTTTCTTAAGGAGAGCTGTATCTCAGTTGTCTTACAGAGTTCCAAAACAGGTACCACAGTTTGGTTTTAGATGGATGGAATGATGTTCATCCTGAAAGGGAGAAATCCAAAAACTCCCACATCTTTCACCCCAAGGCCCTTTAAAAGTAAGCCAAGGAAGAAAGCCACACCCATAGGGTGTGACCGTCACTGTAGATTCAGAAGGGAGGAGAAGAGTGTTCTGATTGAAGGGGTTCCCTCCATTCCTGAAGACAGGGATAGACCCCAAATCTAAGCTGAACATTGTAATTTTACAGCATTAGTAAAAGTAACCCTTATTCCTACGATGTTTGAGAGAACAATTATGAACAAAATAAAAGATGGGTTTTCCACACCTTGAATTTGTTGTTCTTAAAAAGAAAATGCATTTCTAGAAAAAAAGAAACCTATGTGAGAATTTTTAGTTGTTTACTTCATGTTTACAAATAATTGTTTGCTTTTTAATGCAATACTTCTAAATATATCAGCCAGAACCATAATTTACAGTAATGTCTTAGGTATTCTGAATAAAATTCCATTTCTTTTGGATATGCATTACCATTCTTAGATTTCTGTGGAACAAAAATATTTGTAGCATTTTGTGTAAATACAAGCTTTGATTTTTATTTTTTCCAATTGCTATTGCCCAAGATTTGCTTCCCATGCACATATTGTACAAATTCTGCTTTGTGCCCCAGGTCACGATGTGGATGAGTTTACTCTTAACTTCAAAGGGACTATTTGTATTGTATGTTGCAATTGTAAATTGAATTATTTGGCATTTTTCTCATGATTGTAATATTAATTTGAAGTTTGAATTTAATTTTCAATAAAATGGCTTTTTTGTTTTTGTTTTGTTATGTGTGTATATTGGGTCTTTTCTCATCGGCGGTTCCTTCTCTGGTCTGATGCCTACTTCTGTCCTGTACACCTGGGCACTGCTGGGTCTTAGCATTGACAGGGTCCTGTAAGAGCAGAGATCTGATGTCAGTGGCAAGAGGGAACAAACAAGTGCTTGGTAAGCGCTGTTTTCTTGTTTGGGCCTATTGCTCAAGAGGGGTGACCCTCAAAGATCTTTCTGAACTGGTGACCTAGGCCTGTGTCTGAAGGCAGGAGTGCTCATGGTGGTTTTGGGTCCAACTGCTATTCCAGCCAGGGGACCCATCAGAGGGTATGGCCAGGATGGTGTCATGTTTCTTTTCTTTCATTCTTTCTTTTTTTTTTTTTTTTTTTAAGATTTTTATTTATTTGGTTCAGGGTCTCACTACACAGCTCGGACTCATAGTGATCCTACTGTCTCAGCCTGCCCAGCTCTGGGATTACAGGCATGTGCCACCATGCCTGGTTTCAGTGGTTGGCATGGCATGCAGTACTAGGGATCGAACCCTGGTCCTTGCGCTTGCCAGGCAGGCGCTTAGACTGCTGAATTATCTCCCAGGTCCAATGACTCTTATCTCTAGGAATATGCAAGGTCCCAGCAAGTGAGCCCCAGGTGAAGTCAGGAGCGTTCGAGCAGCCCAGATTTGTCTGTTTTCCTTCCCCTATCTGTTTTGGATTCTAAAGAATAAAGTCAACCAACCAAAGCCCAGGGAAGAGTAAAATTTGGCCTCAGTCTGGAGGGCTCTACCTCAGAAGATTTCTATTAGAAAGCTTACCTATAGTGTGGACATAATTTTCCTTGGCCATTGTTTACTTTTGGCAAGTCCCTCCGCTGTAGTAAGGTTGAGGGCCTGGGGTAGAGGTTGCTTTCTTTCTGTCCTGTGTTTCCTGTCTGCCTTGACTTGCCATAATTCTAAATAGGGGACCCAGGAAATCAGGGTACAGAGGATCTTGGTCACTGGCTGTGGTGGCTCACATCATACTGAGCGGCAGAGCTCTCCTTTTAAAAAAAAAAAAAAAAAAGGTAAAATATTCAGATAGTCTGAAGAGCAGCCAGAGCAGAGGTCTCCGTTCAGAGGCTCTGTGTTCTTCTTCCTTTTTTTTATTAGTACATGTTTGCAGCACGTACGATCGTGCTGAGTGCTCATTGCAGAGAGTTGAGACACGTAATTCAATTCTCTTCATGCGCCTTCCCCCGTCCGTCAAGATCCCTTTCCTATTTACCAAAGATTGTCTCCCTATTAGAAGAGAAACCCAAGGTA